TCATCAATTTGAAGAAGATTCCTCCTGTAATTTTAATAAATATTATGCATAATAGTGAATCCTTAGAAGCAGATTCATTATATTTGACATTAAAGAAGAATGTCTAGGGGTGCCTGGGTGGCTCAGTCGCGACTTTGGCTCAGGTCATGATCTCATGGTTCGTGGGTTCGAGCCCCGCGTCAGGCTGTGTGCTGACAGCTAGCTCAGAGCCTGGAGCCTGTTTCAGATTCTGTGTCTCCCTCTCTCTCTGACCCTCACCTGCTCACGCTCTCATTCTCTCTCTCTCAGAAATAAATAAAAACACTGAAAATTAAAAAAAAAAAAAAAAGAAGAATGTCTATTATTTGTGCTGGTATGCAGTAGCGGAATAAATGTATTGAAACAAAAAAGTTCAAATACATAATTAGACATGAAAAAAATTTACTTCACAGTTACAAATTAAAAGTATGCAACAAATAAGAATAAAGTTAACAATTGCTTTGCAAGATAAATACAGTCCAGTACTTAAAAGATCTGAATAACTTAACAAAACTTAAAACACAAAATTTTAATAAGTAGTCATTTCTAAGACGAGATTATTTAAAGTCAAACTACATCCAATCCATTCTCTACCAAATCTTCATAAATACTCCTCTTTAGACTGAAAATGAACTACTCTTCTGCAAAAGCAGATTTTAAACTTCATTTAGAAATAAAAACTAACCAAGTGTATGCATCTGTTTTAATAATTGAGAACAGTCAACCATAACAAATTAAATACACACACACACACACACACACACACACACACACACATGGGCATGCACATGCACACAAACACATACACAGTGATTAAAAGAGGTGGTATTGGCCAAAGGCAAACAATACAGGTAATTGAAGTGAATAGATAGTTCACATCATTACTACATCACCAGTACATGGAATAATGTCGGGTACATATTAGATGGTCAGCAAATACTTATTGAATGGATGGATGGATAATGTATTATCTTTATAATAACATATCATTTGTATCAATGGGTAAGGATTGACTATTTGGTATCTTAAAAATACCACATTAGGAATAATGTTACTTGGAAGGTTTATTTGAAAAATTTTCTTAAAGAGAACTAAGGAATAATACAAAAGACCTTTTTAGAAAAAGAACTTTTAGGAGCGCCTGAGTGGCTTAGTTGGTTAAGTGCCTGACCCTCAATTTCAGCTCAGGTCATGATCCCAGGGCCTTGAGATCAAACCCCACACTGGGCTCTGTGCTAAGTGTGAAGTCTGCTTGGGATTCTTTCTCTCTGCCCCTCCCTACTCACTCCCTAACTCTCTCTCTCTTTCTTCTCTCTCAAAATAAATAAATAAACATTTCAAAAAAAAGAAAAAAACTTTTTATTTTTTAAATAAACTCTTAATTAGTTGTGGAGCTCAAATCATAACCCTGAGATCAAGAGTCATGCACTCACACTGAGTGCTGAATCAGTAAATTGTACACATGAAACTAATGTTACACTGTATGTTAACTAATTGGAATTTAAGTAAAACTTAAAAAAATAAAACCACATAACTAATAGCAAAAAAAATTCAAAATAAAACCATAGCTCTTGCAAAAAAAAAAAAACTTTTTAGAACTTTTCTTTTGTAAGGAAATCCTGTCCTAAAAAACATCAAATATTCTTTGAGGCTGTTTAATTTTATTCACTGTGGTATTGGGCCATTGGCATAATAAGTGAAAGTTGACAACTACATATCTATATCTATTTATGTGTCAACATTTATAGCAATTGATATAAATATGTATGTTATATAGATATATAACATTTATTTTCAAGATGGAAGTAGTTAATGTCATAAGGGTTGTCTATATATCCTTTGCAGTGCCTATCTATGAGAAAGGGAGAGCAGCCCCTGACATGCAGGATCTGGCCTAATCTGATATCAGCTGGGCCTTGGGGTTGCTAGGAGCTGGCCTGATATGGGGAGGCTGTGTGTGTCTCCTGTTGAACATAAGCAATTTCATAATGATCATGGTGGATGAAGAAAAAAAGGTCACTCTCTATGTTTAAATATAGTACAACTTAAAACTTTTCAAGTCACGGAAATGACCAAAAACTCCCATCCTGGCTAATGTGAGATATTACTGTTCCCTGACCAATTTTGACTTAGCATTAGTGTAGTCTTTCCTCTTCTAGATAAGAATTATTAAAATACTCAGTGAGAAATGTATCCCCTTGTTTCTGACAGCATCTAATCTGGCAAGGCCCAGATTCCATAACTTTCCTCCAAATCACTTAACACAAGCTTGAATCCTGTAATTACACCCCCCCACCGCTCACAGTTTTCCATGGTGCTGACCTGTGCTGACACAAGTAATAAATCCAACTTGTTCAACCACAGATGTGTTTCAGGTGGTCTTTGGCAGAATACACGAACATCTATATCTTCTAAAATATCTCATATTTTACACAAATGGAAGCTCTGTTTTATGCATTCATCCACACATATGCTGGTATGTGCATTTATTTGCTCTTGTATTCACAAATGTAATGACAAGTAATACATATTTAAGCAAACGTTCCCCAAAATACAGAGTAATACATTTCAGAAAAAATAAATATGTAAGTTTTAAAAAGCAATAAAATATCAGAATAAAGTATTTATAATAGTTTATAGTCATTGCATAATGGAGGTCTTGGTAGGGAAACACAAAACCCCATAATTGTTAAGGAAGAACATTAAAAAATACACAATTAAACTGGGTGGCTCAGTCAGTTAAGTGTCCAACTTTTGGTATTGGCTCAGGTCATGATCCCATGTTTTGTGGGATCGAGCCCCATTTTGGTGATAAATTTAAAGTGATAAATAGATGAACATTTATAGTTATAAATGTATATATTAGAAAGAAAAATGGTTTAAATTGAGTAAGATATACTTCCATTCTTAGAAGCTAGAAAAAGAACAAACAATACTCAAAGTAGAAAAAAGGAACATAAAAGCAAAACTCAATAAGATAGAAAACATATAACAGAAAAAGATTCAAAACTTAGTTCCTTTAAAAGTTAATAAAAATAAAAATCATTCTAAGAGTGATTGAATAATGTAGAGAAAAATCACAAAATTATCAATATTGAGAATGAAAAATGGAACATTTGTACAGATCTAGAGTTCAAAAGGATGATAAAGGAGGGAAGGGTAGTATGAACAACTTTGGCCAATACATCTAACAACTCAGAAGAAATGGATAAAATTAATCAGAAATAGATCTCACACAGAGAGAAATAGAATATCTGAACATTTTAAAAATATTTGCTTCATAAGTTAAATGAAAGTTTCTCACAAATAAAATTCTAAGACCAACTCACTCCATTTCTAAATCCTAAGAAACATTAAAAGAAGAAATATTCACAACAATTACACTAACTCTTTTAGAAAATAGAGGAAAGAATAGAGGAAGAAATTTCCCAATTTCTCTTATGAGGCCAGTGTATTTCTGGTACAAAAATTTACAAGTTTATTGAAATGAAAGAAAATTACAGACAAATATTTGTTATGAATATGGATGCAAAAATCCTGCAAATCAATACAGCAAAATATAAAAAGATAGTACATAAAATAGGGTGTATTCCAGCATACAATTTGTTTCAAAAGTAGGAAATCAATAATTTTAATTCACAAAATTGACAGAAAGGGAAAAAGCTATATGATCACATCAATTTATATAAGAGAAACTTTTGATAAAATTCACATTCACGATTAGATATATATCATAAAATTCCAGCAAACGTTGATGGGAGTGAAATTTTGAATATCAATGTGTATGTACAAAAATCCATTAAGTATAAGCCCCAGTATAGAAGATATTTACAAATCATTATATCCAGCAAAAGAATCATATCTAGAACGCATTAATAGGCTCAATATATAATAAGAAACAAGACCACCCAATTGTAAAATGGCCCAAAGTCTCAAGCATTTACCAAGGAAGTTATATAAATAACCAATAAATATATACAGTGTGCTAAAGTTTATTAATGACCATGAAAATGCAAATTAAAACCAAATGTAGGACATCTACAGGTCCACCAAAATAATTATATGAAATAAAAACAAAAACAAATGTAAGCATTGATATGAATTGGAATTCTCACACATTTCTGATGAAAGTATGAATTAGTACAACTTTGGAAAACTCTTTGGAAGTATCTATTAAAACATATGCTGTGATCTAGCAATTTCACTCTAGAAATACACCTTTGGGAAATCACTAGATATGTTCACCAAAGAAATAAAATAGTCAAATGTGGTTTTTAATAGCCAGCACTACAAATAAACCAAATGTTAGTCAACAGTAAAATGGAAAAACAGATGGTGTTATATTCAATCAATGTGTGATATACACCTATAGGGAAAAAACAAAGCTATTTCACTTCACAGAATGAATGAATGGATGGATCTCATAATCATTATATTAAAATAACTCACAGATAAAAGAGCACTCATGATTGGTTCCATTTATAGAAAGTTCAGAAACAGACAAAACTAATCGCTGATGGTAGCAATAATGATTGTCAGGGGGCCATCTAGGGGTTTTGGGTTTTGGTGGTTCTCTGTTTTATTTCTTGATCTGAATCTAGGTGCTAATTACACTGTAGGTTTGTTCACTTGAATATTAATTGCGCTGTTCTATGGTTTGTAGAATATTTATACATATACACACACAAATATATCTTCATTAAGAAGTGTCTACTAATCTTCCTGTTCATTAATATTTCTTCAACCTTTTGGAGGTGATTCTGTTTTCTTTTAAGGCTTAAAGCGGCGTCAAACCAATTGGAAGCCTCCTGCGCGGAGTTAGGGGCCAAGACCGCCCATGTTTAACACTACACAGCACCCACCCTCGCCACCCTTCTCTGCTCGTACAGTGGACTATCTCTTGCAAGGTGCGCGGCCAGGAGGGGTCCCCTCGAGCTCCCAACTGTCCTCTGCGCAAGCCAACTGCCATTATTCAGCTGGCATCCAGGACATGACGCCATGTTGTGCTTTCTGCTGCTTCTCATCGGGCTCATTGGGCTCCAGACAGATGATAGTAAGTACAAAAACCTTTCCTTTGAACTTTTGGGAATGTCAACTTTCCTCTATACTTTCTTCTGAGAGGCCAGATATCCTTGGGAAAGTGCTTTCTTGCAGGTGCTTCAGTTTTTTAAACCAAAGCCCACTACCACACCGTCTTCCCCAACGAGAATTCACACTGGATGTGATGGGGCTTTCCCACGCATCCTGGTACTGTGTGAAAGATGAGAGCTGCAGTGGTTCAACTGGATGCCTCAAGGTTAGAGTTTCATATACTGCTCTGCATTTTTGACCTCTGGACTTTGTAGTCAGAAAGTCCAAAGGTCCTGATTAAATTTGTAATGAATTTCTCTTTAAAGGTCTTGTAATTCTAGAAAGAAGTGGGAATTGAGTGTATTTTAAAAGATAGTTTGAAAAAGAGGTGGCATATAAAATATGGATTCAGATGAGGAAATTCAAATGGAGGAAGCTATGAGGGGCTGGGTGTTAGTTTAATGAAACATTTTGTACCTTACAGATTCTGAAAGACTACGTGTGCAAATTACAATACCGGAGAAAATACGGTCAACGTTAAGTGGAGGAATTGAATCCCATGTAACTAAGCACTAACATTTTTTCACAATCTAAAATCATGTGGATGTTTTCTTTTTAAGAAGTGACATTGGCATTTTCATTCATGCAAACTTGGTGAATTTTATACTTATACCCAATTTTCCTTAAGTGGAAAAGCAGTTCTGAAAATGAGCCAAGATAAACAATGTTTCATGGAAATATAATGCAGTGATGCTTATTTTCAAAGCCCCAAGTCCCATCTTTTAAGTCTGTTTCCCTCTTGAGTGTCTTTGAATAATCATTGACCTGATTCATCTAGAGATTCTCTTCTTATTCACTTACGAGCTATATTTGGGGGGGTTTGTCTCCTTGTTAAGTAAGCCTATGGTTTTCTTTATACAATATAATGATCATTTCATTTAATGAAGTTTTATAGGAGTAAATTTTGCATCTTGATTGCACATATGTTAATCATTAAGACTTTTTTCATGCCATCTTAGTTCATCTTGGTCCAGGGTATTAGGTTTTCTTTTCTTTGAATTAGAAAATATCTTTTTTTTTTTTTTTACTAGTTTCTAGAATCATTTCTCAAGAAATGAAATGTGTTTTTTCAAACACCACACCTTAGTTTTAGTTTTGGTTGGGTAAACGTTCTGGTAATTTTAATGCAAATAGTTCCTTAGCAACTACCTACTTGTCACCCTAATTCAGATATTACAGGCTTAAGATGTTCAATATATCATTTTAAAAGAAATGCATACTTATGGAAACTTGGAAACTTAAAACTTAATCATTTAAATAGAAAAAAATGGTGAGATATGTAACAGTATTTTGAGAGTTTTATTTTTTAATTCAAAACTATAATGAAATTTCTTGCTCATATCAGAACATATATACAGAATGTACTTAGAGGGATATATTTTCAACTAGGCATCACCAAATTCTATGATAATAATTCCATAAGAAAAGCACACAGAAAAATCACCTGTCCTCAGCTGTCAAATTCATGATGGAAAAAGTTTCACTATTGTGTTAATGTCTCTATTCCCCATGTGTAGAGTAGTGCTGGATACAGAGTATTTGAACCAATGAGACTGTATTAAAAAATACTATAAACATTTTTAACATGTTTTTATAAACATGACATAGTTTGTGTTTATAACTGTTATAATTAATAATTAAATTATATAGATAATAAAAAAGAGTATTTGCCTAGCAGTTATAAAAAACCCTGAATAGATGTGAAAACTATAATGAAAGTGAAAAAAAATGAAGAATTAACAGTAGACCAGAGTGAGCTAAAGAGACCAGATATATGCAACATAAAAATGGCTAAAGGAGAAGGAGAATTGAATTAGAGGTTTACGTATATAGTATAGTATACATACTGTATAGTATAGTATCTACTATATATATAGTAGATGCTTCAGTATATAGTAACTAAAATTCCTGAAAGGGGGGAGAAAACCTGGAGATGATGCTATATTAAACATAAAATAACTGAGAATTGATAGAAAAAAGAGATACCTCAGGGCAAGTATAACACCATAGAATAAATAAAAATCAGTATTGGCAACACCTTGACATCAGAATACCAGACATTCTACTGGATATTATAAACTGACCAAAATAAGAAAAAAGAATAAGACTCAAATATTAAAATTAAGTATAAACATAGAGCAAAAAAATAGGGGAAAATACGCATATACACACACATACATATATACACATATGTTTAATAATATTGGTAAATAATATATTTTATGATAAAGTGTTTTGTATATATATGTGTATATATGAATATATGTGTATATATACATATATGTACAACTCACACACACACACACACGCCAAAAATAGGAGTTACTTAACAATAAATATTATTCAAAAATTAGAGAACATTTTAGGATATAGTAAACCTTCACTGAAAGACATTATTACAACCACTACAAAACTGGAAAAAATTTAAAAAAAGGAAAATAGGTGGTATTGTCTAAGGGACAAATAAATTAATAGAACAGAATAGAGTGCCTCTGAAAAATGTGCACACATATGAAAATTTATTCAATTCAATGGTAGCATTGAAATCATTGGATAAAGAATGGACTAGTTAATAAATGGTGAAGGGAAAGTTTATTAATGATATGGAATAATAAAATGTATATCAATGCTACAGTATACACCAAAATTGATTCAAGATAATTTAAATGTATACATCTGAGAGTAAAATGCTAAAAATCTGGAAGACAACGAAGGTTATTTCTAGGACGTTTTAATAGGGAAGAATTATACCAGTAAAAAAAAAAAAAAAAGCAACACAAAATCTTAAGTGAAGGGTTAAAGAATATCTAGATTTAAATAAATAAATAGCTACCATAATTACATTGAAAAATGTTCCAGACTCACAGAACATATTTGCCATCCGTATAACACACAAAAGGCATCCAGAATATATCAAGAATTCATACAAATAAGATAAAAACCAAGAAAATAGAAACATGTACAAAGTATGAATGACAAGTGTTGAACTTGAGTGGAGGATAATTTTGAAGCATATATAGGAATTTATAGGGAATTGCTAAGTAAACACACTAGGGTACTATTTCACATCAATGGTAAAAGTTAAATCTAACAAAACAAAATGCAACTAGAGGGGATGGATAAAAGGATAATATTATTCATTTTTTGTGAATAACTACATTGGTGCAACATATTTGCTGATTAATTTAAAACTCCAAGTGAAGTTGCAACAGTACTTTTAAATAAAAAGTTCACTCAGGTTTAGTTTAAAATATAGGTAGCAAATATGCACAAAGAGATATGCCTAAGATTATTTGGGGGGTCATTCCTTAAGATAGTGAAACCAAACTAAATAACCATTGACAGCATAAATGAATAAACTGTACTATTCAGAAAATGGAATACAATATCATAAAAAATTATAAGGATACATGTATTGATGATGATAGCAAGCATTTGCAGAGTGCTTACTATGTCTGAGACAGTGTTTTAAGCAGAGGTGTAATCCAGCAGTGAAATATATAACTTGTAGAAGAATTACACTTATACAGAGCTAAAATTTATGTAAAAAAATAAACATCTATAATTATTATAAATCTAAAAACATGCATGGTAATGATAAACATGAAATTCAAGATGTTGGTTAGCTGGAATGTAAGGAGGGGAATTAATAATGGGATGGGAGAGTACTTAAAATTGTTTTCAAATACTTGTACTGTTTTTATTTTTTAAGATAGACATGGTTGACAAGCCATTTTATATGCTTTGCTGTAATGTTTATATGCTAAAACTGTAATAATTAAGAATAATAATTGTGGAATATAGAGAAGATCAAATGCCTTTGAAAGAAACATCATGCATAAAGTTGAAATATTGAAAGCTTTTCTCCTGAGATCAAGAAAAAGATAAGGAGGTCCACCGTTACCTTTTCTATTTTTTCTTTGCCTGGAAATATTAGCCACTGTGATAAGAAGGCAAGAAAACAACAAAAATTAAAAATAGGCTTAATAATTGGAAAGAAAAAATAATGCTATCATCATTTACAGATTAAACGATTGTATATAAAATAAAATACAAAATAATTAAGAGAAAATTAGAAATAACATAATAATTTAGTAAATTCTTTAGAAGCAAGATAAAAAGGAAACAAAAAAAGAAAGAAGTCCATAACATAAAAATTAATTGTATTTCCATGCTGCAAAACAAAAATATAAAATGAAACTTTTAAAAAGAAAAGTTACCCCACACAAAAATCAAAATCTGAGTAAATCTAACAAAGGTAAGCAAAACCTCCTCTCTGAAGACAATACAAAAAGATGAGAAGGATGAAAGGTTTAAATAAACCCAAGTATATCACATGCTACTGGATTGGAAGGACCAATAATGTAAAAATGTCAAAGCTTGCAAATTGATCCATGAAGACTAAATTGCTCATTTGTTAGACATCATTTCTTAATCTTACTATTAATAAAATAGATCAATGAGTTTTGATCCAAACTTGGAATGAATTTTATAAAATCTGTAAATATTATATATTATGTGCTGCCGAATCTTTGCTCTACTATATAAAATTTTTATTAGTGATATGTTTATGCTCTTCCACTTTACTAGTAAGTTTTGCAGTGACCTCAGTCTTTATTAAGCTAATGTAATTATTGAATGAAAACCAATTTTTAAGATTCAAATGTTGGATTCACTTAAAATTTATTAATTACACAAATCACATTCTTCCATCCAGTTTTATTATGAAAGCCAATATTTAAGTAAGCCAATATTTAAATTATAAATTTTCCTCTTTGTATTCTATTAATGTACTTTGAATGTAATTATCATTGATGTAAAATGTTGGTTTTGCTTTCTAAAACCATCTTCTCACTTTTCTTTGCCTTTTTAATACACTCTCCTGCCAGGTGTCCTACAACATTGTAATTGAAGGGAAAACCTACACTGTGAACTTAGTGCAAAAGTAGGTGATCTACATTATTTTATCACCTGTATTTGTTCTAATTCTTGTTTATAATTAATATAGAATGTAATTATTTTGCATTTTTAGATGTTCCTAGTTCATTTGTCTCCCATTTCACAACTTAAAAAACTTTGTCTATATAATAAATGTGTAGAAGTTGAATGTTTAGTTTATGCTTCCATCTTCCTCCTTCCCAGTAGCATCAGATTTTTATTTGGCTATCCATGGATTTCATGAAGGACGAATTTTGATAATTTTCTATCTTTATCAAAATCTTTTTCAAATCCCTGATATTCAACTATATTTGAAAGAGCATCGTGAATTAGGGTGGAAAGAAGAGTGATGATGAAAAGAAAATCACTTAACACATCATGTCAGAATGTATTAAGGATTTAAATATACTTGTAATTAACCAAACTCAATACTAGGCCAGCTGATGTATTTAAGTAAAATAAGCACATCATACTAAGAAATAAAGAAAAATCAGAATTGTAATGGTCCTTTTTAAATGGTATAGGGGCTACTGGGTGGCTTAGTCGGTTAAGCATCCGACTTTCGCTTAGGTCATGATCTCGCGATTCGTGGGTTCGAGCCCCGTGTCGGGCTCTGTGCTGACTGCCAGCTCAGAGCCTGGAGCCTGTTTCAGTCTGTGACTCCCTCTCTCTGACCCTCCCCTGCTCACACTGTCTCTCTCCTAGAAATAAATTTAAAAAACATTTTAAAAAAATCTTTAAATGGTATAAGTAGGAGGGGTGCCTGGATGGCTCAGTTGGTTGAACATCTGATGCTTGATTTTAACTCAGATAAGTATCTCCCAGTTCATGGGTTTGAGCTTCATGTCAGGCTCCACACTGACAGTGCAGAGCCTGCTTGGGATTCTCTTTCTCTGCTCTTCCCTGGCTTATGCAGTCTCTCTCTCAAAAATAAACAAATAAACTTTTAAAAAAGTAAATGGTAAAAATAAGAATTTCACAACTCTACATTAGTGTATTTTTAAAACTATGTGAAATTAGTTTTTTTCTCTCTAAATTTTTATTTAAATTCCAGGTTACATATATGTAATACTAGTTTCAGGAGTAGAATTTAGTGATCCCTCATACATATGACTCCCAGTGCTCATCACAAGTGTCCTCCTTAATACTCAACATTTTAGCCCATCCTCCCCATTCACCTTCCTTCCAGCAACCCTCAGTTCTCTATAATTAAGAGTCTGTTTTATGGTTTGCCTCTCTCTATTTCTCTCCCTATCTTCATCTATTTTCTTAAATTCCACATATGAGTGAAATCACGTAGTATTTGCCTTCCTCTGATTTATTTCACTTAGCTTTCCATCCATGTCGTTGAAAATAGCAAGATATCAATTCTTTTATATGGCTGAGTAATATTCATATATAAGTATGAATATATATATCCCATTCTTTATTCATTTATCAGTTGATGGAACTTGGGCTCTTTATCCATTCATCAGTTGATGGACGCTTGGGCTCTTTCTAATATTTGGCTATTGAAGATAATGTTGCTACAAACATGTAATGTATCTATCTCTTTGAATTAGTATTTTTTGTATCCTTTGGGTAAATACCTACTAGAGCAATTTCTGGATCACATGTTAGCTCTTTGTAACTTTTTGAGGAACCTCCATATTGTTTTCCAGAGTGACTGCACTAGTTTGCATTCTCACCAAGACAGTGTAAGAGAGTTCCCCTCTCTCCTTATCTTTGCCAACGTCTGTTGTTTCTTGTGTTGTTAATTTTCGACATTCTGGCAGGTGTGAGGTGATATCTGATTGTAGTTTTGATATGTATTTCCCTGATGATCAGTAATGTTGAGCACCTTTTCATGCTTCTGTTAGTCATCTGTATCATCATTAGTTGTATATGCTATACCTTTTAGTACTAATGTAAAAACAACAGCCTATGAAGGGCAGTAGATTTCTTAAGGTCTGTCTTTTTATTATATTAGGAAAAAAAGGTATAGCATATACAATACAACTAATGACATAATTGATGAATTACACACTCTACAATTAAGACTTCTCTTTTCTCACATACAAGCAAAGTACACTTAAATAAAAATCTTCACATAGAAAAAACAAAATCTTTTGAAGAGTAATCACATTCTCCATGACTAGCATGATAAAATTAGAATATAATTACAAATGTTTAATCAAAGAAGAACCAGCTTTTGGAGAATTAAGTAACAGTCACCCAATAAGTCGTGGCTGAGAAAAATTCAGAATATTATTGCAAAATGTCAAGAGAGTAGTGATAAACAGAACTCATCTTTTTAGATATGACCTATAATTGAAGTAAAATGCAAAACATTCACTGTATTTTTTCATTTTATATGCAACAATGAGAATATAGTGAGTAATACTAGGGTGCAAAGGAGACAGAATAAAGTGTGGCCAAGGAACCACTACTGGTGGAGTCCTGAAGCCTTCAGTGACCACTGTTCCTGGTGTGTCTCAAGCCTCGCAGCCCCTACTCAGGGTATCTTAGCAGCTAGTTGGTTTCAGTCTTAGCCAACAGTTTGTATATATACAAACAAAGTGGTATCACTTGCACTCTCAACAGCCTATGAGGCTTTGGCTGTGTAAAGAGCTCGCAGCAATCTGCACCTTGTCACATCAACTTGGCAACCTAGGGGTGTCAAACAAATGAAGTTAGAACACCAATTTCATTGCTCAAAGATAGGTCCAAAACTCAGGAATGGATCTAGATGAGACTATTGAGAGTAACACTACAGGCACAACCTGTTTGTGTCTTCACACATACTGCATTCTTTACATATTGAAAGCTTTTGTGGCAACCTTACATTGAGTAAGTGGTTTTAGGGATATTTCTGCTTCATTTCTGGTGGGTCTAGTTAGCTGGCTCCAATGTTTACATTGTTTATCATCTCAGGGTTTCAGCAATGATGGGGCAATTGGCAATCCACTCCACATCTGCAGGAGATGTAGTTTAGGGTTTTTGTTTTTGCATCTGATGCTGTTTCTGCCATGGTCAAAACTGGGTAGCTTCATTCTGTCCATTGTCTACAAACAGCAGGCATTGATGGTTTCTCCTGTTTACGAATTGCTGAGGACACTTGTAGCTCTATGCTCTTTACTGGGAAGCCCACACTGTGTTTCATGCTAGAGACCTGAGGCTATTAACGCTCCATTCCTAAGGCACAATTCTGGTCCAGATTCTGTCCTAGTTTGCAGTGTCACCTGCTCGCTCTTTCAGCTGCAGCACTAGTCTTTGTTTTCACTTCTTTGATCATTCTGTTTAAAGCAAAAGTCGGTCCACCTTTTGCACAGGGCCAGATAGTAAACATTTTAGAGTGAACTCCATATGGCCTCTCTTATACCACTGAATTCTGCCGTTTTGAAAGTAGGCATAGAGGATTTCCAAATAGATAGACATAGCTATATTCTAATATATTTATATTTACTTATTTATAATTACACTTCTGTTTAAAAGTGGTGGGGGGCAAATGGATGGCTGAGTCATTGAAGCATCTCACTCTCGATTGTGGCTCAGATCTCACGGTTCGTGGGTTCAAGCTCCACTGTCAGTGCAGAGCCTGCTTGGGATCCTCACTCTCCCTCTCTCTTTGCCCCTCCCCTGCTTATGCTCTCTTTCAAAATAAATAAATAAACTTAAAGAAGGAAAGAAAAGAAATGTGGTGGCAGGTTTTGACCTATAGGGCATAGTTTGTCAACCCACCTTATTGTTTAAAGTGTAGTACTGTATTAAAGAATGTATTAGTATTGTTAATCAGTCATTTCTGTGTTGAGAATGGAAATAGAGATAGGGTATTGGGTTTTCTGTCTTTCACAAAAATCACTACCAATTACCTTTATTTAATTGTTTTAACAGTTGTACAATATATTAAATATAAATCAAAATACATAAAATATATTTATGCAGTTTATGAAGTGAACATTCATGTACCCCTCTGACGTTAACACACATTGATTGCATTCCAGAAGCCTCACAGATATCATTTTCCATCCCCCCATTTGTAACTACTTTTAAGACTGTTGTGATAACCATTTACTTGATTTTATTTAATTATCCTAAGTCACGTATTTCTATTCATTTTGAATTCTAAATAAAGAAATCTAAATTAATGTATAGTATCCAATGTCATGACTATAGAACAACTTCTTCTGTTATTTTGGACATTCCATTTTTTCTATTGTGGAGATATGAAAATATTCAAAGATGAAATCTCATATATGTGTTCTTTGGCACATATGCACATGATTTTCTAGGACATATAACAAAAGATAGTCTGTGTTGTTAAATTAAATGCATTGTCATAATTATTAAGCAATTCTCCCAAAGCATTATACTACTTTATATGCCCCTCCACACTGCATATTTTATTAATAATGGTAGATATTTTAAGTTTTCAATAATTGTTGATTCTGTGTTTACTATATGCATCTCTCTAAATGCAAATAAGCCTGAATATTTTTTAAAAAATATTAACAGTTGTTAATAAAAAGTATTAATCAGTTGACTATCTGGATTTCCTTCTTTGTGAAGCACTGATGTAAGACATTTACACTTTTATTTTATTTTATTTTATTTTATTTT